GAGCCGAATCTGGGCTCGTACAACCCCCTGAAGAAACTGGCGGGTGTACTGTCACGGCCCGCCCAACAGCGGCAGTTTCTTTCTCCTCCATGGATACTTAAACTTACCTTTCGTGAACGTGGAGGGGGGAAGTGGTGGCAGCGGAGGGGTGGGATGAGCAGCGGTGCATCGAAGATCTGTAGTGAGTGGTGTGGAACACAATGCCCATGAATTCCTGGAAGCCGAGCCGCCGATCTGCTCTGTAATCTTTGCCTGTGGTTCTGTTTTGCCTTAAATTTTACATTCGTCAGGTTTCCGCTGGAACCGTTGTCCTGTGTTTGCAGGAGCAAAGTGTTTGGAGGAGGATGCTGACTCACTTGGGGCAGATGTAGTGCTGTGAGTAAGATCTGGAGCCCGACTGCCTGGGCTTCAGGCAGTCTGTCATTGGACTCTGCTGTGTGACCTTGACTGCGTAATTAACTTCTCTGTGCCTTGGTCCCATGTCTGTCATGTGAAGAAAGGACTGATGTCATGAGGGGGTTCTGTGGAGGAGGAGGAGGATTTGGGTAAGGTTCCAAGGACAGTGGCCGTTCACGTGACCACCCGGTGACCCCGTTCTCATTGGACCTGCAGCAAGCCTGTGAGCTTTTCCAGCTTGGCTCAGGATGTGTACTTTCTGGTCCCCACGTCCATGCGTCCATTCAGCAAACGTTTATGGGGCTCTCTGTGTGCACGCTCCCCTGGGGGCCTCCTGCAGGCCTGTGGCTTCAAGGCCCCCCTCTGAGTGATGCCTTCCAGAGCCTCCAGGGCCTGCCGAGTGGCCTCTTGGGAAGATTTGATGCCTCCATGACTGTGCCCACAAGCCCAAACCAGACCCATTAGCCTAGAGTTGATTCTGACTCTGAGCGGCCCCACCTCGGCTTTCCCAGGAGGTACGTCTTCATGGCAGCAGACAGCCTCATCTTTCTCTGGAGGAGCGGCAGGCAGGTTTGAACCTGTGGTTAGTAGTGCTGAGGAGGTGCCTCAGTCTCAGCATGGTCCCGTGAATGCAGCTGCCTCTCTCTCTGTTTCCCGTCCCTCTGGGGGCGTGCCTGGATGCCCACCCTCCCTCCCTCCCTTCCCTCCTACCTGTCCCAGACCTCCAATCCATCATATCCTTTCAGCACTCTCTTCAAAATACCTGAAGCCACCCGTGTGTCCCCAGCTCCACTGTCTCCATCCCTGTCACTGCCACTGTCATTCTCACCTGGGCTACTAGCCGCCTTGCATAACACCTTCCTGTGGGCTGTGCTAGAGGAAGTCTCAGCTTTGCACCTTGGCTCTCAGGTGTTCATGTTTCTGTGTAACTAGACATCTGTGAGCCGCAGACAAGGATGGAGCATGTCGGGCTCTGTGCTGGAGGCTGTGGGGACTGGCTAGCAGGGTTAGAGTGGTGCTGGAAGGTGAAGATGGGATACAGGTGCTGAGTATACCCTGGTCTGCAGAGAGCTGGCGCTGAGAGGGGCCAGCCACCTCCAGCACACCAGGAGATGGCCAGACTGGCCCCAGCCACTTGCCTTCATCCCTAGCACTGCCTCTAATGGCCTGAGTGGAGGGGGTGGGGAGATCAGCCAGTCCGAGACTTCTTGCCTGTGAGTGCCAGTGCAGAAGGTGTGGCCAGGTGAGGAGGGCCATGCTTGTCAACAACTGTGCTCAAGGGAACATCCCCCAGCCAGCTCTCTCCTGGGAAAGCTCAGCTATCCCTCCAGGACAGGGCAGGTCTGCACCCAGGTGAGAGGAGCAGGGGAGAAGGAGGTGGAGACAAAGGACAGGGTGGAGTGGGGTTCCCCGCCACCTCTGGGCCATTTCAGACACGCTTCCTTTCATCATCTGGGCACTTTGCCTGCCTCACCCCCACCCCCCTCACCCCACCCCCACCCCAGGACTGAACCAGGAGAAGCTGTGGGTGTCTCCAGGGTCTGTGGTAGCCAGCTCAGGGTCTTCCCGTGGTCTGCCTCTTAGGATGACATGCTTCCCATGGCTGTCACTAACAGGGCGCTGCTTTTCCCCAGAGAAGACAGACACTCCAGCACCCACCCGTACGTGAGTCAGTCCTGGGTCACAGTGTCCCCATGCACGACAGAATAGGATGCTGGCCCTGGGCGTCCTCGCTGTTGGAGCCCGGTGTGGAAGCCAGGATGTCAGTCCACTGTGTTCCTGGGCCTCGGCTTTACCAAGCAGGATGTCCAGCTCCAGGGTCTCGCTGGGCAACAGAACTAAAGACTGTGACTTGACATTCTCACTTCTGAGGGGCACTCCGGCTGCACTGCTTCCAGGACAGATGGGTGTGTTCTGTACGTTCACTCTTCTTCACCAGCACCCCCGCTCAGATGCATCGGCTCATTGGTCTTCCTGTTCACTGTCCAACTTTCGCATGCATACTAGGCCCCCGCAGATGCCATGGCGTGGGCCAGGCACGCCTCAGTCCTGAGGCACGTCTTTGCCAGGTCTCTCTTATTGATGATTTTTAGTTCTGGCCCACATGTTTCTTCTGTTCTATCCTCCCCACTACCCAGTTGATTCTGAGTCATGGGTTCCCAAGGGTGTCACTTGTTATAGGAACTGTTAAGCCCTATCTTTGTCCCACAGGGTTTGAACCCAAGACCTTGTGGTTAGCAGCCTGAAGTCTATGCGACAGCCCCAGGGTTCTTCCCACTTGATTCAGACCTTCTAAGGTGGTCCTTTTTAGAGGAACTGAGGGTGGTGGCTGGCACCATCTAGTGTGTCTGGTCTCAGGGTGGTGGAGTTTCCCAGTGTCTGATGTCCATCCCTCGGCCGCCTCTGGGCGAGAGGAGACCTCAGCAGAGGTTGCCGCTGAGATGGCTGCTCGCAAGCTTTCAAGACCCCAGCTGCCGGTCACCAAATCAGCATGTGGAACATGGATCTGGTGGACACGTCATGTCATGAACCTTAGTGTCCCCTGAGACTTGGTCCTGATCTCTCAGACCCAGAGGTTTGTTCCCTCGAGGGGTTTGCTGTGTCTGAGGAGTTTTGTAACAGCGCTGTCCACCGCCCCCCATATACGTCACCACCTTCATAGATAGATTTGCAGCCAAAGTAGACACCCACATGCACATGTATAACTACCCTTTGTCAAATTGTTTCTACGGGCTCAATATCCTCCTCTTCTGGGTCATCAGCCCATATGTTCCCATCTCATGTTTCAGGGTCCCAACTTTTCCCAATCAATGCCCTCACTTTGGTATCAGACACTGCTCTAGATCTGCAATTCAGCTGCTGTTGTAATTCAGCCACTCGTATAATGAGACTCTGGACCTAGTTCTCAGCAATGTCAGCTCTTGCTAGAGGAGAAAAGGCTTTCCTTTGTAGCACAGATGGAAGTTTTCAAATCCGTTAGTCTGCACCTGAGGCGCGCTTTTGAGGCTCTGAGATCATCCCTCTCTTTAATCATACTTTCCATTGTAAGAAGGACCAGCCAACCAGCTTCCCTACACTTGTCCTCCTGGCAAAACTCCTGGAAAATATCAAACAAACGATGACTCAGAGCCTCTCCTTTAACCAGCACCTCATCTATCGGTGGTGCTACTTTAGGTATTATGTTTGGTATCTCACACCATGGATTAGGAGGAGTAGCAGACTCATCCATGCTTTGGGGCATAGAAGTAGCATTATTAGTGCTGTTAATACTAATCAGGCTGGAGAGCCAATTTAAGAAGCCCATATTTATGATTTTATTTCTCTAGAAGCACTCCTGGTACCAAAATGTGTTAGACAGGGTTCTCTAGAGAGATAAAACCAGATTGCTGATAATTTTATATATTTATTTATAAAGATAGTTTTATATATATAATACAAGAAATGAACTATTAAATGATATACAGATAGATATATAATACAAGAAATGAATAGTTAAACTATAAAGCAGTACAAATGGCTCAGTGCAACTCACTCCCATGAGAGAGTTGTGAGACACTAGCAGTCCTTCAAGTCTTGAGGGCTGCCAGGTCTTCCTCTGTAGAGAGAGCTAGGCTATATCAGCACAGCAGCAAATAGCAAGGCAGGTCACCAACTGTCAGTCCCCAGCTCCAGAGATGTAAATTTCAATCGTGTGGTCTTAAAGGGACCTCAACTTACAGCGACACAGTCCACAGGCTAGGCGTCCCACAGGTAGTGTAGCATGGAAATTGAGGCACAGAACAAGCAAGGCAGCCTCACACTGGTCTGATGATCAAAGAGCAAGAGACAAGAAAGGCGAGGCTCACCGAGCCATTTATCTCTCTGCCCTTCAATTAATCCCACTTGTGTTTATCGGCCAGGCTGGCACAATAAACTATCTCATATAAATACCCTCTGTCAAACTGTTATGTATACACGGCTGGGCACTCCTCTCCTCCCACCAGTCCACTCTGCGGTCCGTCCGTCTGTCCCACAGTTGCAGGGTTGGGTGAAGAATAGTGATTGCCCGTGTTGAGCGGGGAAGATCTTGCTTAGGGGGCACTGAATTATGAAGGACGGTGGGAAAATTCATAAATGGATGGTGGGGATGCTTGCACAGTCTGCTAACAGGAACCCAGTGAGGGCCGCTGAGTGGTCCGTGTGAGAAGGCTGGATGGGCGTGTTTTTCTTTGTTGTGCATGTTGTCCCACCATGCACAACGTGCACAGGAGGAGCTTGCCCCCAAACAGTTTGGCCTGAAGCCCCAGGACCAGCTTTCGCTTGGCTGCTTGGTTCTTGTGACTCAGGGAGGGACCCACAGTATTTGGGGTGGACAGCATGAGCTCATGCGCCACCCCCGCTGGAACATGGAAGGGTTGAGGGATGTGGGGGTCGCCCAAGTCACAGAGCGTGGTCTCTCCTGAGTAAGTAAAAGGGCCCCTCTGGGGCAGACAGGTGCGCCCTGGCCCTTTGGCCTGACGTGAGGCTGCAGCTGGGAGGATTCTGCTGCCAGTGCACTGGGCTCTTGGTGATGGAGCTGGGGGTGCAGCTGGGGCTGACTGCTGTGTGTCTCCATCTCCCTCCAGAGAAGCTGCCAGACGGCCAGCATTGCCACCGCTGAGGTATCCACCCAGGTCCAGAAGCGTGCGGATGCCGAGGTGCAGACCGAGCCGCCGGGCCCGGTTGCCATGCTGCCCGCGTGCCAGCTGGACAGCCCGAAGCTGGCGGCCTTTCTTCGGAGGGTGGAGGGCATGGTCATCCGAGAGCTGGACAAGAACAGGCAGAGCCACGCGTTTGATGGCTTCGAGGTGAACTGGACGGAACCGCAGCAGACGGTGAGCATTGAGGTGGTGGAGGCATGGGAAGCTCCCTGGTCGGCTCAGGCAGCAAGCCTCCACCCCCTTTGTTTGCAGCGGGTTCGTCAACAGATCATTCACACCCCACACACCTCAGTAGTTCAGAAAGGGCCGTGCAGTCATAGCCACCATCACTTTTACCACATCTGCTCTTCCCGGTAACCCCTCCGCCGCGCCCCCTTAGGAAACTATTAATCCAGTTGCTATCGCTATAGATTTACCTAGCTTGGGTTTCATATACAGAAAAACATGCAAAATCCAAACAAAAACAGACAAAAAACAGCCCAACAATGATAGAATAGATATAGGAAAACCTCACTTGAAAAGAAGGCAGAAAATATTAAAAGCTGGGACATTGGATACATTGGATCAAAAGTGAGATCAGATGGCAAGGTGCCACACTTTAACCTACAACAATCTCAGTGACCCACCCACAGTGCACTGTGGGTAACAGGGCGTCCCCCTCCCTGGCCCTCGGCCAGAGGGGATTCACTGCAGGGCTTCATCCACACGGAGGACCCTTTTTGTCATCCATAGCCTCCTGCAAACTGTTTTCAAAGTTTAAACTGTAATACCGTTCCCTCCCCTGGATTTGGATTTTATTATTTACAATCCTTGGATCACTCAGGTTGGTGTGCGTCGTCTGTGTGGAACTTAGCTGACGTCTCTTAGGTGACTGCTTGTTTTAAGGCAAGCCTTTAAGACCCCAGATGCTATTCTTTGCCTTTACCTCTTTTTAACTACTTGTCCTTGACCCAAATCACATCATTGAAAGTGCACATTTGCAAGGTTTTATAGGAAGTCATTCATCCTTTAAAACAGGTCTTGCACATGGTTGGATGTATGGATTGTGGTGAGAGTTGTACGAGCCCCCAATAAAATGATTTAAAAAAAATAGGTCTTGTTGCACAGATGAATGGTACAACTTTCCTTTAGTTCTGGAATGCTTCCTACCCCC